CTGCGGCCGCTGATCGGCTTAAGATCCTAAAAGAGATCAGGGATGATACGCGCTCTGCGCTTGAGCTATCAGCCGAGCGTATGAAGGTGTACTACGATAAGCACGTGCAGGAGGCACCGGTCTTCGCGCCAGGGGACAAGGTCTGGCTTGATGCCCGGAACCTTAAGCTGAAACAGCCGAGCAAGAAGCTCAGTCCCAAGCGCCTCGGGCCATATGCCGTGCGGTGAAAACTCGGAGATTTAGATTACAAATTGGTTCTGCCAAAGTCGGTGCCTGTGCACCTGGTGTTCCATGTCTCCCTGCTTAGCAAGTACACATGTAGCGATATCCCGGGCCGAGAGCCGGAGGAGCCGCCTGCAATCGAGGTTGAGGGCGATGAGGAGTACGAGGTTGAGCAGATCAAGGATTCGAGAATCTTCCGGCGTCAGCTACAGTACCTCGTCAAGTGGAAGGGTTATGACGACTCACACACGTCATGGGAACCGGCGCGCAACATTGCGAATGCGCTGGCCCTCATAGCCGACTTCCACCGGAAGAATCCGAACGCCCCTCGCCGCCTCAATGCTGCTACATTTGGTGGTCTTAACTTTCAGCCAATGCCTTCGCCGCTGACTGAAGCACAATGCCGCTCTGGGTGGGAAATGGGCAAGGGCACCTCGCATGAGGTCATGCGCCGTTGAGGGGGGGGTAATGTCACGAGTTGGTATGGCGTCTAGCCGTTTTTTAATTTTTTCCTTTTCACGGGCTCGAACCCGCGACCTCTGTACTACATGCCTGATATGGACGCATCACTATCTACTGTACAATTAGATTAGATGGGGCGGCAGTGCGCGGCACAGCTCGGGCTCCGCTGACACAGCCGCTGTGACTCACCGGCCCCCGGGGCCGCGTCAGCATGCTGTGCATGGACCAGCTGCGCACGGACCAATGCGCACAGCCTCCCCTAAACTTCCCCTGTATATAAACCTGCCTCTGCTGCCCTAGGGACCTCAGTTTCGACCTCTTGTCCCTAGGTCAGTAAGCCCCTGTACTTACTTACCTTTCAATACTAGCTTACTTGTCCCTAGCCTTAGGTTTGAGCATAAGCTCACCATCGCTTCGGTAAGACCCAGTCGAACGCCCCCAGCGTCCTTTGTCTGTGTTTCCCCAGTCGCTTGACCCTAAGTCGTGACAGCTCAAGCTCGAAAACCCCAAGATAGACTGGAAAACAGGACGAGTTGAGCTAAACCACCGATGGACGAAAGACGAGACAAGGGCCTGGAAGATGGACCTATACCAAAGGCGAGTGGCTTGGCTAGAACTAAAGAAGGCCGTAACTACCCCACTCCCAGAACCAACGGAGGACGAATTCGTTGTCATCTCCACCTCGGAACACGCAACCCTCCCCGAACAAAAGACTAGCGGCACAGCAGGATATGACATCTCTGCTGCACATCAACTCATCATCCCTGCCCGACGACGAGGCCTGGTTGGCACCGATCTTACCATGGCTATCCCCGAAGGACACTACGGAAGAATCGCACCTCGATCCGGCCTAGCACTAAAGGAAATCGATGTCGCTGCAGGAGTAATCGACTCCGATTACCGAGGCAAGGTCTCAGTCCTACTGGTCAACAACTCCGACCTCCCATTCACTGTCAAAGTCAGTGACCGAGTTGCTCAGCTCATCCTTGAAAGGATAAGCACCCCACCAGTAACTATAACCGACTGCATCGACGAAACTGAACGTTGGAAGGATGGGTTTGGGTCAACGGGTATTGCGTCCATTGAAGAACAAGCGGAGGACATCGACAACGATGAGTTCATCATTTCCTACTTATCAGGAACACCGATGATCACCAAGTACGAGAAACAGGAATCCCTAGCAGTAAGGGATGTTCCGCTCAAGGAGCAACTTCCCGAACTCTTGTCCGGCTACAAACGACTCCACAACGGTATGATCTGGAAGATCCACCACGACATTAGGCGAGTCACAACATCCACTGAACTTGCGGCCTCGAATACCCAAGGCAAGACAGAAAAAACGCTACCACAGATGATACCGTCCTACCTACACGATCTCCTCTCCATCTTCGACAAAGGCACCGCTGCGCGACTTCCGAACCATACCGAATATGACCACGAAATCAACCTCAAGGAGGGCTTCACGGACATGAAGCAACAGGTTTACCCACTCAACCCACAACAGCGAAAGGAACTCGACAAGTTTCTCGAGGAGAACCTGAGTAAAGGGTACATTCGCCCTTCGAAATCCCCGTTGGCGAGTCCATTCTTCTTTGTTGGTAAAAAATACGGTTCACTACGCCCCTGTCAGGACTACCGGCTGCTCAACGAGAACACGGTCAAGGACCGATACCCGCTCCCGCTTATATCGGACCTCCTTGACAAATTGAAGCACGCCAAGGTGTTCACGAAGATGGACCTCCGTGCCGGATACAACAATGTCCGAATCAAGAAAGGGGATGAATGGAAGACAGCGTTCATCGTACCCGGAACTGATGGCAAACCACCGCAGCTGTACAAACCAACGGTGATGTTCTTTGGGCTGTGTAATTCCCCCGCTACGTTCCAACAGATGATGAACACAATATTCGCAGACATGCTTCAAGAAGGCTGGCTCTGCATCTACATGGACGACATCCTGATCTTTTCCCAGGACAAGGCAGAACACGAGGAACGAACATGACGTGTTATCGAACGACTTCGACAACACGACCTCTACCTCAAACCGGAGAAATGTGCCTTCGACGTCACCGAAGTCGAATTCCTCGGCATGATCATCCGCCCAGGAGAAATTGCAATGGACCCCGTCAAACTAGCTGGCATTGCAGATTGGCCGGTGCCATCCAACCTCAGGCAAGTACGTGCCTTCATTGGATTTGGAAACTTTTACTGCCGGTTTATCAAAGGATTCTCGGACAAAGCGCAACCGCTGGTTGCTCTCACCCGGAAGGATGTCGCCTGGACCTGGGGATCTGACCAACAGAAAGCCTTTGAAACCCTCAAGAAGGCATTCATAGAAGAACCGGTACTACGCATGCCGGATCCCGATCGACCCTTCGCTATCGAAACCGACGCCTCCAAGTTTGCAACCGGAGTAGTACTACGCCAGCGCAATGACAACGGCGACTGGCATCCTTGCGGATACCTCTCTCAAAGCTTCAATGCAGCAGAGAGAAACTACGACATCTACGACAGGGAGTTATATGCGGTCATCCGCGCACTAGATGAGTGGAAGCACTACCTCATCGGCAGCCCATACCCAGTAACAATTCTCAGCGACCACAAGAACCTCACATATTGGAAACAAGCCAAAGACATGAACCGACGACAAGCACGCTGGGCGAGTAAACTGACCGAGTTTGACTTCCGCCTGGTACACGTTCCTGGTACCCAAATGGTGCAGAGCGATGCTCTCTCCCGCCGACCCGACCATGACGACGGCTCTAATGACAACACCGACGTCGTTATGCTCCCACCGGAAGTATGGGTCGCTGCCATCGACATCGACACCCGCGACACCATCCTTTCCTTTAAGGACGACCCAATAATGAAGGAAGGCCTCACTGCGGCGCGCACTGGAGGAACACCACGCACTGGAACAGACTGGTCCATCGATGATGACCTCCTCCTATACCAGGATCGGGTCTATGTACCCCCAGATGAGTCTCTTCACAAACGTCTTGTCTCCCACTATCACGACCTCCCCTCCGCAGGACACCCCGGTGTTCAGAAAACCCTCCTCGGCTTGCGCCGTGACTACTGGTGGCCGAGCATGGCCCAGTTTGTTGCCCGCTATGTTAACGGCTGTGGCATCTGCCAGCAAATGAAGGTTAACACGCATCCAGCCCGTCCGCCCATCACCCCCATTCGACCCCGCGCAAATGTCAAGCCCTTCAGCACATTCTCGTGTGATTATATCACCGACTTGCCACCGTCCAACAGCTTTGATTCAATTTTGGTCGTAGTGGACCACGACCTTACGAAGGGGGTAATTTTCATCCCATGCAACAAAACAATTGATGCTCTTGGGACGGCAGACGCAATGTACCGAGAGGTCTACAAGTGGTTTGGACTCCCAGACAAGATCATCAGTGACCGAGGACCGCAATTTGCGTCCAAAGTCTTCCAAGAACTCTGCAAAATGACTGGGGTTCAATCAGCCATGAGTACGGCATTCCATCCGCAAACCAATGGCGAGACAGAACGAGTGAACCAAGAGCTGGAGATCTACCTCCGCTGCTTCACTGCCAATGATCTGGATAAGTGGGCTGACCATCTTCACACCGCGCAATTTGCTCACAACTCCCGCAAGCATTCCACGACGAAGACGTCCCCATTCAAACTCATGATGGGATACGAACCTCGCGGAATACCCACCGCGCACCCCGGATCAAACACGCCGCAAGCGGCTTATCGCCTCAAGGACTTGCAAAACATCCGTGAGGAAGCACATGCGGCAATGGAGATGGCCCAGAACGTCCTGGCCAAGAGAGTAAGAAGGAAGGGGGGTTCCTTCCGTAAAGGTCAGCTGGTATGGCTAGACTCCCGGAACTTGAAGCTGCCGTACCCGTCCAGGAAACTAGCCCCGAGGCGAGAAGGGCCGTTCAAAGTCCTAGACAAGATCGGAACGGTCGCGTACAAGCTAGACCTCCCTAGCACCTGGCGAGTCCACCCCATTTTCCACCAATGGCTTCTATCTCCCTACTCCGAGACGGAGATCCATGGTCCGAACTACACGAGGCCACCCCCTGACCTTATCGAAGGCAAAGATAACTACGAAGTCGAAGCCATCATCGGACACCGAGAGAACAAGAGGATGCGGCGCCGCGAATATCGCATCAGGTGGAAGGGTTACTCAACTGCGGATGACTCATGGGAACCCAAGGCAAACCTGACAGGGACTGCGGACGAAGTGCTAACGGAGTATAAGAAGAGGAAGAACTTGAGCTGAGTCAACAGCAGCTTAACCCAGTCGCTACACCCCCACTCGTACCAACATGTCTTCCACCCTCTTGTTCCTCGACCAGTTCAATGCCCCCTCGACCGAGGGCAGAAAGAGGATCTCAATCTACACCCCTAAGCACACCCATGTCGGCGACAGCGCTTTGCTGACGCTACTCCTCAGTAACCCCACCGACGTCTTCAATAAACTCAAAACCCACAACCCCGAGGCAACCAATGCCACCGACCGCGCTGCACTAGGAGCGTACCTCTCCGCCCGCCACGAATACGATGAGGCTGTCAAGGCAGCCGACAAGGCCATCGACCACCACAAGCGGCTCCTACGGCAACAGGATGACCGTGTCCTCACCAAGCTCATTCGACTCGACAATCTGAAAGTTGCCCATCGCTTTCAACCGCTCCTACCGCGCAGCATCCGGGCGCAACACAACAAATTCATCCCGCGCACCATCCCCAACGCGTACCTACCCCTACCCGCACCCCTACCGACGTCTGCCTTTAGGTGCCCCCCGATCCCATCCCCTTTCCTCCAAGCAACGCTGCAGAGCACTACTATCCCGGCTGACTGGCAACCCAACCCTGGGTGGACCCCGAAGGGAAGCTGCAGGCGATGCGGATCGTCTCGACACTGGGTACGGGACTGTCCGGACGTACGATGCGCAGGATGCGGGAAAGAAGCCCCTGGACACCTGGAGCGGGAGTGCGGAACCAGGCCGATGAAGCGACACATATCCGCACCACCTGAAGAACCTGCGCGACGCGTGGGGGTGGTCGTCGACAACATGTTTCTCGAAGGAATCATCAACGAGGTGAAGGAGAGGAAGGAGAAAGAAAGGCAGACGAAAGCGGTATCCATTCCTCCACCGCGTAGCGCTAACCCCGAACCCCCGGCCAGTCCTGTCGCAGGATCCTCGCGCCCCCGCCCCGATACACCCGTCGTCTTTCGCAAAGTCGACCCCGACTGGACACCCGACACCACTCAATGGACGTGGGACAGCTCCTGGCCGCATCAGAAGCACTTCTCTGGCGAGGAATGGAAGAACGTAGGGAGGAACGCGCGCAAGGAGTGGTTCGACGAAGAGGAGGAGGACGGCGTAGACTGGGAGTTGTATGGAGATGGTGAGCAGTAAGTAGTCGAATGGGACTTCGACTCTGGCAGGGGGGTAATGAAACATTTGTCTTTCCGTTCTATTCCTTGTACTACTAGCGCCCATACTGGCGCCTGTCTTAGCGCTCACCCGCAGGTTGAACATTATGTAGCTTATATAATGGGGTCCGTGCGCACTTCGTACCTGGTATCGTACCACTACGTTTCTTTCTTTACTAAACACGACCACATAGACACAATGGTCCGTGCGTAGCCGGTACTTGTATAAATAGTTGTACCATTAGTTGGTCGAACCCTAAGTTCGACCTGGTTATTCATTCAAGTCTCTGCTCCTCTTCGCTTGGGGTAGTGGTCATTCTCGACTCCCTCGCTCGATCTTCAGGACGACGCACTGTCCATAAGCCCTCGCTCGTTGTCTACGAGTCAGGCATCAATATAGGAGTATAGACCATTGTAACAGCCACAGTGCCTTTGCCAGCTTCCTAGTACCATATATGACCAGTGCCTACTGTAGTGGTTGGCCGGCATATATGATGGTTTCTAATTGTGGTATGGTGATATATAGTGATCATGTATTGCGCTGTCAAATGGGCACATAGCTGCGCACGAATGCTAACTAGCCATTTAATGTATTGTACTTTCTTTGCTAACTAGCATTATATCATGTATGACTACAACAAGGTCACCTGGGTATCATGCAGGCAGCTCTGACACCATGTGCATGGTTTTTGGATATGCAATTTAGCCAACAATCGAGAATACAGGCATGTAGTCGCCAGCACAGGCAATAAAGGGCTGCCTACAGCTCGGATGCATCCTTGTTATTTTCCCCAAGTCCACTGCCATCAAGCGACATGTCACAGAACACCAACATCAGGAGGTAATAGTGTCTCCAAAGTTCGGTCCTGAACTTGGTTCTGAACTGCACACCGGCTGAACTGAACCTAGATTCAGGTTCAGTTAAGCTCAGTCTACAGATTTCCCAGAAGGTTCGGTTCATGGTTCAGAGCAATGAAGGACCAGTTCAAACCAAGAACCAGAATTAGATCTCAACACTCCCAAAAAGGTACTCAATTATGTTTCAAATACTATTTTACATGAGTTTCATCAACAGAAAATGTCACCTTCACCTCTCCACAAGATAGTGTGCACTGCACCCAGAGCAGCATTGGCATGTACGCCCCACCACCCATCGGGGAATGCTGTTCCCTGCTCAAATAAGCTGCCTTACATAAGCCATCATCAGTGCATGTGACAAGTCTCATGGCATCATGCCTTGCAGATCCTTTTCAAGCAGTGAGTCACACTTCTGTTTGTGTGTTATAGTTATAAAATGACTTCCAAACTTGAAAGCAAAGGTATTTCATATGGCCAGCTGGAATCTGAAGGTTCAGCAGGTTTAGTCCAAGGTTCAGTCTGGTTCAGGCTAGAGGTATGTAGGTTCAGTTCAAGGTTCAGGGCAAGAGGCCCCTGAACCGAGCTAAACCAAACTTTGGAGATGCTAGGAGGTAAGTTGTGGATTGCTGTTTCCAATGGCCCGCCACTCTACTAATGTTGTGCAGTGGATGTGAAAACAACACTGGAAAGACCGCCAGCAGACAACATTCTCGATGGACAGGGATCAATGGTGGATAAGGTTAGAAACCAATGGGGCTACCTACAGCATGCAACACCTACATAAGTCCTATTCCCACACCGGCGCACAACCACGTGACCCAGACTGGCAGCAATGCTTGCCCAATGTACCCAAAAGTCAACAGTGGAGTGCATCAGTAAAACCCCAACTTTCCTTGATAGACTTAAAGTGCTTATTGTTCCTTAAGTCAGGAAGTAAGGTGAGTTTCAGCTTAATTAAGGAGCAAAAATAAGGCTTTTTTGAGCTTACTTGCCTTGATCAACTTGATTGCAGGAACCAAGGCAAGATTAAGGTTGTGCAGGAAATGTGGGATTTTACTGATGTGCGTGATAGTGCAAGTAGTAAGTCCAAATTTCTTCGGAGTTGCACATTGCATTTTGCTCATATCTGCTTTGTACCCAGACAGAACTGTGGGCCACGGCAAAGGGAACTATATAGAGTAGCACTAGCTTGTAGTCTTTCATTTCAAATTTAGAGCTATGCATTTAAGCATTTGCTCATGCGATCGAGAATGCTATATTTGGGGTATGGTGCGAGGGGGTCGGCCCCTACCATTGCTTCTCATGACTACAGGTACTCCAGGGTGCTCCCGTCCTCGCGCACTCCGGGACTATATAGGTCGACACGAGATTTCGGGTCACTACAGAGAGCTATATAATCGGGAGGAAGACTCCGTGCCTCGTGGTCCTACAGAGGCTACCTAGACCTATGTAGGTTTGCGCATTTTTCCTGATGTATATTGTGGCTGCTGTGGCAGCGGCATCTCGGATCATCGGCCGGAGAGAACAGTTGCTGGAGGTGGTCGCGCCTATCGTTTTTTCGCTCGCTGTAAAGTGCGCACTTACCGGAGGCGCACCTTGTTTATGACAGAGCTCTCATTTTTGCTCTGTCCCCGCCACCGCGATGTTGGACACTCGGTTTTCGACAAGGCCATTATTGTCATTCTGAATTCGCTCTTTTGGTCTCGGAATGCCACGCCGTTATTTGGTGCTTCTCTATTCTCATGCGCATATCAATACCAACTCTACATTCTGCAGAAGGTTTTTCCCGAGGCTCCATGGCGACATCTCTTCTGGGCGCGGGCGCTATACCTTGTAGTCCTACATATCCCCACCATTACTTACTACTGGCCGACGCCCCCACGCCCACGCCGGCGACACAGAGCGATCTGTCGGCATTACATCACGGCAGGCCTCGATCGCGATCTGAATCTCAATTGTTCTGAGTGTAACTGTTGCTCGGCCATCACGCGAGTCACTAGTCATTATTGTCCAACACTTGTCTGTTCGCGCCGAATACCCCCTTGGTTTTTGGGCTAAACATCAAGTCTCGCGTCTCGCGATAAATGTGAAGCAGTGCTTCGGCCTCATGGAGGTTCGTCTTCTAATCTTCCTTATGATTGCATATATTGATGTACATGGGGTCTGCCCCACCGCCGTTCTCCCACACTGCCGCTAGTTTTCGAAACCGGCCCGTGCAATAGTATCCGTGCGTGCAGACCTTACTGAGCTCGCGAGTAGATTGTCACGCGCCCCAACCCTCTTCACGGTGAGGCAGACCTCATGCTCAGCGGCATCTACATTTATGTAGCCGAGCCTCGCGTCCAATACGATCGCTTCCCGGCGCGTTGATGACATCCTCTGGGTTTTGCTCCCACGCGAGCACGATGCACGCTGTGAGACATGGAAGTTGTAAGATGGCAGCCCGGGTGCTGAGCACAGACCGTCTCTTCTTTCCTCCCCCGCCATCGACTCTCTCGACGCGTGTGTAGTCAACTGCAGATAGAGCCCCCTCAGCCATGTCCGGCTCGCTCGCAACGTACGCGCTCCTTGCGCTACCGGTGCTCTACGTGCTTGTGACGCTTCTTGTGCCCCCCCAACGCAACGTCAGTGCCTCCCTGGGCTTCTCCGAGCACCATACGGTCTTGTCTAACCTTCGCTCTTTTTCACCGCACCCAGCTGCGCCATATTCCGACAGTCGGGGGTCCGTCCAACCCGTTCCTCGCCTGGATCGGTGCACTACGCTACGTCTCGCACTCGGCCGAAATCCTTCGTGAGGGCTATGCCAAGGTAAGCATCAAAGCTTAAGCTCTGGGGCTTCCTCGTCTCCTTTTCCTTCCACGCAGTGGTCGTCGTTCCGTGCATTGCGGCGTGATGCTCGCAGGACCGCACAGTGCGTCTGCCGCGGTGGGGTGATGAGAGGGCCACAGCCGGCTCTCATCCCCTGCGCCCATGCGTGTCCGCCCTGATACAATCGCGACAGACGGCATCGCAGGCACTGTTGATGCGCAAATTGTAAACTGGCGCCTGCTGTGGAATTTGCGACCCGTTTAGCGGGAGCCCGAGGTCGACGTGCATGCGTCACCGCTACTTTGTGCATGGTGACTGGCGTCCTGCCGTGTACATCGCTAGCATCATGATAGTGTTCCCGCTTCCGGGGACCTGAATATGTGATTCAATCTAATCATTGTGTCTACGCATGTGGTAGTCATCTTGGGAGTGTTGTGCGTGCAGTTTGGTCCACGAAGTTGATCGTGAATCAGGAGTACTGAAGTCATACGCGTGACTCTCCTGGTGTACTCGCTTGACAAATGTGGTCATCTGCATGCAGCTACTCGTATGTGTGGCCATATCTGACGCTTCTGTATGGCGTTCCCGCTACGAGCGAGATGCGCCGTTGGGGCCCCGTCATTCTTTGCGTTCTGCCGAACCACACATCCTCGCATGTGCCCAACCGCGATCGGGCACGACGTAGTGTGTGGTGCCAGCGATGACCTCCGCACCTTCCAGTTGCTACTGCGTCTGCGTGCACAACCACGTTCTCGTATCATGATATGCTAATCATCACCAGTACAAAGGAGGCGTATTCAAGCATGCCGAGCCAGGAGGCTGGTGTGTCGTCGTCACGGGCTCACGCAAGATCGAGGAGCTGCACCGCGCGGCCGACGACGAGCTGTCGTTCATCGCAGCTACGAATGAGGTGAGTGCATCTCTCTCTCGCGCGCGCGTTCACGCCAGCGGTCCTCAGCCCCCGCGCGCAGACGCTCCAGGTGCCATACACGCTCGGCCCGAACGTCGCGAGCAACCTCTACCACGTCCCGATCGTGCGCTCGCAGCTGACGCGCGCACTGCCCGTGCAGTTCCCAGAGTTGCGCGATGAGATCGTGTGTGCGTTCGGCGACGCCGTTGGGATGCCCGAGGGTAGGTGCATTCGCGTGCGTCTGAGTCGCATGAGGCTGATGTACGCTGCAGAGTGGAAAGCCGTGCCTGCAATGGAGGTTGTGATGGACGTCGTCGCTCGCACGAGCAACCGGCTCTTCGTCGGCCTCCCGCTCTGTGAGTCGCACGAGCACGCCTCGGACCGTGGCCAGTATCGACACTGACGTGTATTGGCCCCTACACCAACGCACGACTGAGCAGGTCGCAATGCTGATTACTGCGAGCTAAACAAGCAGTTCACCATCGACGTCTTCACGGGCGCCGCGATCATTAACCTTTTCCCGAGCGTCCTCAAGCCGTACGTCTGCAGCCTTGTATGCCCGGGTGTCGTGGCTTATGCTGTCATTGCATTTACAGAATCGCCCGGCGCTTGCTCACGAAGGTCCCGCAGCGCATCGCGCGCGGCATGAAGCACCTCCAGCCCATGATCGAAGAACGCTTCCATCTGATTGAAGCGCACGGAAACGACTGGCCGGACAAGCCTGTGCGCCTCTATGCTCGCGCTCGCACATGGAATATCACTGACGCAATTCCGTTTGCTCTCCTGCTTGGCTCATTTGCAGAACGACCTGCTCCAGTGGCTCATGGATGCCGCACAGGGCGAGGAACGCACCATGCGCGCGCTCGTGCTGCGGGTACTTACGGTCAATATTGCGGCTATCCATACCTCTTCCTTGGTGCGTACTCCCTGCCTCCAGCGCTTCCTTCGCCTCATAGTGCCTGCAGACGTTCATCAATGCGCTGTACCTCCTCGCAGCGTACCCGCAATACATCGCGCCTCTCCGTGCAGAGGTCGAGGCGGTCGTCGAGAGCGAGGGATGGACGAAGGCTGCGATGAACAAGATGCGCAAGGTCGACAGCTTC